TATAAATAACATAACAGATATCCAATTTTTCTGCAATTTTGCAACATATTAAACAAGATGTATGAGCAGAAATAGGCCATTTAGCCCATCAAGCCTGCTCTGCCATTCAGTGAGATTGTGGCTGATCTGAACATCCTCACCTCAACTTCCCTGCCTTTTTCCCTCGGGTTCCCTGGTCCTGATTAAAAATCTGTGTCTCAGCCGTGACTATACTGAATGACCCAGCCATGACAGCCCTCTGTGGTAAAGAATTCCATGGATTCACTCCCCTCGGAGGGAAGGAATTCTTCCTCATCTCTGTCTACAATGGGTGACCCCTTATTCTGAGATGATGCCCCTTTGGTCCTAGACTCTCCCACACAAGGGGAAACACCCTCTCCACATCTCCCCTGTCAATTTCCCCTGGAGAATCTTGTCTGCTTCAATAAGGTCACCTCTTATTCTTCTAAACTCCAATGAGGACAGACTCAACCTCTCCCTCATAAGACATTCCCTCCATCCCTGGGATCAGCCGAGTGAACCTTCTCCGGACTGCTTCCAAAGCTCAGTCTATCTTTGCTTGGATATGGGGCCCCAGACTTGTTCACAGTATTATTTTAGCAAATCCTCATGACTTTTTTACGCCATTGCCATTAAAATAAAGACTCCCTTGTCAGCTTTACACTCCCCACCAGCCTCTCCATCGCACCGAGTACCTTTCCCTGCAACTTAAGGAGGTGCAGCACCTGCCCCTACCTCTCCCCTCTTACCTCTGTCGTAGGCCCCAAACAGTCATTCTAGATCTGGCAGAGATTCACCTACACTTCATCCAACCTGATCTATTGTATCCATTGCTCCCGATGTGGTCCCCTCTATATCTAGGAGACCAAACACAGACTCGGGGACCGGATCGCAGAGCATCTGTACTCTGCACACCACAACCAACCTGACCTTCCGGTTACCATCCATTTTCATTCCCTCTCCCACTCCGTGGCGACATGTCCATCCTTGGCCACCTCCACTGTCACAGACCAATCGCCTGAATATTGAATTCACCAGCTTCAAAATCCCTCCACTCTCAGCCTTATCCCTTATCCCAAAAACCCTCCCCCTCACCTTCCTGACCTGATCTAACCTGCCCATCTTCCTACTCACCTATCCACTCCAGTCTTCCCACTGACCAATCACTATAAGCCTCTACCTGCATCCATCTATCACCATCTCTCCTACCATTTTCCCAGCCCCATCCCCCTCCCTCTATTGATTTCTGGGCTCCCCTCCCCCTCCCCAGTCCTGATGAAGGGTTTTAGCCCAAAACGTTGACGTTTTTGCTCTTTGTATGCTGTCTGACCTGCTGTGTTTGTCCAGATCTGCATTTATTAACCCCAACATTCCATTGGTTTTCCCTGTTTCCCGCTGAACGTGGGCATTAGCTTTGTCTGATCGATGGACGAGGGGGTCCCCAGTCTCTCTGTGCTGCAGCGCCCTGTAGTCTGTCTCCATTTAAATAAGATTCAACTTCTTGATTCTTCCTGCCAAAGTGTTAACCTCATATTTCCCCACATTCTGTT